TCAAGATTCTTTGTAGCTTTCTTGCTTGTGGCCTTTAGAGCAATTGATTTCTTTTCTTCAATTTCTTCTTCCTCCTTTAGCCTTCCAAGCTCCAATTCATGTTCTCTGATTTTTCCAAATAAGGTGGTCAAGTCTCTTGATTCAGATATTACAGTGACTTTCGGCTGCCAGCTTCTGTTGAGGCTTTTCAGGATCTTTATGTTGATTTCTTCTTTATCAAACACTTTCCCGAGAGCCATGAGATTATTCACTTTGTGTGTGAATCATTTCTGTAGTTCATAGATAGTCCCTCACGCTTTCATTCTGAACAGCTCATACATCTGTATGAGAGAATTCTTTCTGGCTCTTTTCACTTCATTCGTTCCTTCATGTGTGACTTCAAGAACCTCCCACATTTACTTAGCAGTTTTACATTGGGAAATTCTGAAAAATTCATCCATGGTTAGTGTAGAAGCAATAACATTTCTAGCCTTAACATCATACTAAGCTCAACGGTTTTCATCTTGAGTCCACTCTGAAAAATTTTCAAAACAATTTGCCATTTAAAACATGAGTGGGCTCATATGGACCGTTTAGAATTGCATCCCAAACTCCTTTATCCATCGATTCAAGAAAGATTTGCATCTTTATTTTCCAAAAAGCATATTTTTCTCCAGCAAATAGTGGAGGTCTATTTGTCGAAGCACCTTCACCAAAGGTCTGAGAATTGAAAGCCATTTTTAAGTATTAGTTGATTTAATGAAAATAGTAATCGACTAGCTTTTCAAATATTTTATGAAAACCAGCTCTGGTGCCAATTGTTAAAACAGAATGACTCAATTTCTCACACTAAGAAGGGGGGGCAAGGTGAATTGGTGAAGTATAAAATTTAAAAATTTCAAAAAAAATTTCACCAAAAGAGATGTCTTTATACTTTTCTTGAAACGCAAGTTAAAAGATTTTCAGTGCAACGGAAATTTAATCGAATGAGTATAAAGTATAATCGATTGAATGTAAAAGAGTAGGGATAAGAAAGATCAAACGCTAAGTTTTTATACTGGTTCGGCCAAGCCTACATCAAGTGTCCTTCCAACCATAGGAAGCCAATGCACTATAATGATCAAGGTTTTTACAACAAGGTTTTTATAGAGAACTCACGTAAAAAATATAAAACACCTCTCTAACCCTCTAATCAAAATATAGGATGTACATAAAGAGACTAGCAGCAAGAATCCTCTCTCCTACAGTCTAACCCCTTTGAGGCACCCTCAAAGTCAAGAACGCAGCACGACCTTCTTCCTGTAACCACAACAGGGAATTCAACCCAATCTTCAGCAGATTGTAGAACCTGATCTTGCAGTAGACACCCAAATATACAGATAGATCAGACTTTGAAACTCAACAATCTTGCTCTTCAAGAAATTCCAAGTATTTGATCACCACGGTCAAACTAGTTTATTAGAGCTTTTTCTCTTTCTATAAGAATCAAACTTTCTGCAAAAGAATATGAAAATCTTAGAATCACAAAAGTTCTTACAGAAATCAAATTCGCGTCAATTTATAGATAAACTCGTATCAGACGCAATATAATCGACTTTGCTACTAATGCAGTTGAATACACCAATTCAGTTATAACAGTTAGTAGCAGTCAAAGCAATTAATTGAATTCAAAATTAATGCAATCAAATAAAATTTAATGCTTGGTCAACACATTTAAAAATATAGCTGTTGTGACAGTTATATCAAGCATTAACATATTTTAAAACAGTAACAGACTTAATCGAATACATGTCGCATGCAATCGATTATGTAACAATGTTAAACAAAGTTTTGAAAACGTTTCTCTTTGAAAAATCTCACAACACACTTTGAAAAAGGTTTGTGCAAAGACACGAGTTTTAATCGATTCAACCCATAATGTAATCGACTTAAATATGTTGTTTTGCCACACAATTTAAATTCAACATTAGTGCTTGAAGTTTTTCTCATCCAAAAACATGTGTCATGCATTCATGTATAAAATCACATATATAACACAGTGAAATGCAATGAACAACACAATAACAACATAATCATGTTCTCAGATACGCATATCACATGTAAGCATAGAACATGTAACACAAAATACACATGTGTTATTAATTATGCTTTGTCATCATCAAAAACTCAAATATTATTGAGATTGTGGGTTCAGCTAAACCAATGCTTCTCCTATCAACAATCTCAACATGTTCAAATACACATATATGATCATTAAACCTTTCAAGATCAATGTTAAACCTGCATAGCACAACTTTCTCAACAATGTTGAGTGTTAGTCCAGTAATAATCAATAGTTGTGATGCAATTGTAATGTCAAATGAGTATGAATGTGCAATGAAGAATATGACAGTTAAATATATCAAATTGCATTCATACAATTCATTATAAATCAATCATTCACAATAAGATTTCATCCAATCATCCAAACATTCATAAGCACTGGATATGAAATTAAAAGCAATATGTCATACAACCAAAATAAAGATCAAAACAGAATAAGGTATCATAGTTTAGAAGATAAAGGCCTTATGGCCAAATTTACAATTATCCCATAAAAAACAAAATAGAGCTTAATCTAGACTCTAATTCCTATTCTGAGTCTGAGATTTCAATAAACTCCTCTTTTGTTTGGTCTTGCACATCATCAGTATCATCCTCAGATGTTCCACCAAAAACATTGATTTCCAGGGCTTCATCAGTATGTGTTTCTCCCTATCTCTCTCTTTTTCATTTTTAGCTCTTGAGTAACGATATCCAAACCCTTTTCCTCTTCTTCTTTTTATCTCTTTTTTACTCTATCTCTATCTTTTTGGTTAAAAATAAGATCTCTCTCTTAATCTCTAAAAATCATCGAGATTTCCTTTCTAATTTTCTCTCAACTACTTTTTAAAATATCAACAACTACTAAATCTTTGCAAAATCTACGTAACTCTTTTATTTTTTTCCAGATTTTATTTTCTTTCTTTTACTTTCTACACCCCTAACTTAATTTCTTCATCATTTAATAAAGGTAAGAATATCCTTTTACGCCTAGGCCAAAAATATAATTAAAATATAAGGTTCTCATAAAATCTTTTTCCTAAGCATTGAGCCCACATCCATTCCATCCTAAACAACATTCCTACCAACAGACCAACACATCACATTAGTAATATCACCCACACACAAATAAAAAATTTAATAACATACCAATAATGTGTTGCACTTTATCAATAATAAAATTAAATAATTAACATAACAATTATAATTCTAAGAAACACCTAAATATTAAACACCAATTACCAAACAATAACACTCAAATATCAAACCCACTTTATTCCTTAATTACTACATATTTGTAAAAATCACTTTGAGTTTAGTAATGAAATGTTGTCAAATTTGTGCATCTTACTTGTCTTGAAGTCACCCTAGGTTAGTTTTCTTTTTCTAGTTTCCTTCATCTCTTAGGAGTTGTCCTTACCTCTCTCTCTAGAAAAACTTCTTAACACCGAACCACCACCCATGTTCTCTCTCTATCTTCATGCTTCTACCAATCCAAGACACTTCATCATCCAACCTAAGACACTTCATCATCCAGGCAAGGAGCAACTAGATGAAGGCTATCACTTTACAATGTGAACAACTTGTTTCCTTTTCACAATATAAGAAAAGAATAAGAAGTTTGAATATGTATCTTAAATTAAAAATTTTCATTATATTTTCAAAATGTATTATTTTTACACAAAAAAAAAAGTTTCACAATTCAATTTAGTCCATGTAGAAAATATATAGTTAGATTCGTATATAATATTTTCCATGATAATATGTATTATGATAATAGAATAAGATGAAAAAGGTTATAAATTATGTTATTGTTAAAATTTATTAAAATTAAATTTTATAGGTATTATATATCATTAGTTATTATATTTTTTTTACCGAACTTGTTGGTATGTTTTGTTATATATAATTATCACCTATAAAAGTTATTAAAATAAAGAGATCTTAACTTTTATTTTTTCTCATGAATGTTATGGATAGAAACTCATGGTCGACTCATCTTAATATTATGATTATGTTTACTTTATATGCTAGTCAATTTTTCAATGACTTAATTTTTTCCTTATTTATATCAATATTTTGTTTAAGGTAGATGAACCATTGACTAAGGTGTTAATACTAATTTTTTTATCCAAGAGATGTTTCACTCTAAGAATATTATAAGTGGTAATCTTATTAGAGGATTGCAGGTGTTGTATCATTTGTTTTTTTTTTCACAAAATAATTGTAATTTTGTTTCCTATTAAACTAGTAAAATAGTGTGTTTCGAAATACTTATTCTTGTAAGAATGCATGTATTTGACATTTAAGACTTGGTTATGTTCCAAATAAAGTCCTACTTTTGAGTAATGACATTCATTTTGATATTCTATATGGTTTTTCACTTCCAATTGTCAAATTTGTTCTCTTGCTAAGTTTAGAAGATTATCTCTTACTTCACTAAATAATATGTCTTAACTATTGTTTGATGTACTACATTGTGACAATTTTGAAATAGAAGAACTCTAGAAAGGGCGAGGGAAGGGGGGTTGAATATAGTTTTAAATTTTTTGCAAATCAATGTTTAATTTTCTTTGCAATGGGTAAGACCGTCTGCAGTAATTGTTAAACACTTGAGTTTATAAAACAACATTTAATGGAAGACCTTTAAAGAACAAAAGCAATAAAATAATTTGTATGTTAGTTTGTATAAATATACGGAGATTTTTTATTTTAATCGTAGTTGGTGAGAGTATATGACGATGATACTTTAGTATCTGAATATTTGGTTGACGCTTGGGTGGTAGACCCAACCCAAAGACACTTCCATGAACAATTGCATTCGTTGTCTTATTCAGCATATTATGAGCTCCCAGTAGTAAATGCATTGCATCATCACCATCTTCATAATACTCTTTAAGTTGCAGCAACTACTCTCCCTTACGGAAACTTGATATGTCCCCATCACTAAAGTTGTTTTAATCTCATGTGCTCTTGTACTCATATTTTTCTCTTAAACAACCAAAGCTATTTGGTTTCACAATTTTTGCAGGAAGAAGAAAAGTAATGGACAGGCTCATGTGATGCAGTGGACCACTATAAATGTAGAAACAACTCATATAGTAAATTGCATTAACTTTGGTGGTGCTCCCTAGGACATAAAATAATAAAATAAAACAAAAAATGGTGGTGGTGGAATCACAAGGAACCTCGTAGTCACACAGAATGGAGTGGCAGATGAAGCAGGCCTCCATCAAATTAGCAACATTTTCAACCTGCACACTCTACCGAGTCCCTAGAACCAAAATAAGTACTGCAACAATATGGTAAGAAAAATTATTACTTGACTTTGACACAATACATACGTTTTCTAGATCTCACTAATACTACCATGCTACTGTGCTTTAAATTCGTTAAAACAAGTTGAAGCAGATGCTCATTAATTCCTCCTGTAAGTCCAATTTATTGCCATCTCTTACCTTAGCATCCAAAAGTTGGCTTATTTGTGTCTTTGAAAGTTTCTTTTCTTGCTCATTTCACCAATCAACTAATTAATATTTCTTTATATGTTATTCTATTGATGATATGTTTGGCTTTCTGTAGAGACAATTTCAACTCACTTTCAGGGAAAGAACTTGCTTTGAACATGTTTTTTAGAGTAAGTAGTTATACACTATAATCTTACATGATGAGCATTTTTATACAGGGCAAGTTAAACCTTATTTAGTTCTTTATCTTTTAAATTTGGACTAATTTAGTGTAATAAAGATCGTTCTATTTACATAATTTTAACCTACTTTTTGACTGATAAGACTTCTTAGTATGTTCACTAATAAGAAAAGTACGAAAAGTAAAATAAGAAACAATCTTAAACATAGTAAAGATGGCAAGGAAATGTGTCTAGCAAATACTGGCACAAGAGTTTGATATAAGATTTTAATTATTCATTTGAATGTTTTTAACTATTTCTGGTTCAAACATCAACTGTGTTTTATAATTACAAGTTCATCAGAATCTTCGAAGTACTATACTAATCAAATTTAACAATTAAAATATTAAAATGAATTCTTTGAAGTGATGATTAGGATGAACCTTAAAAATAAAATAAGAAAGAAAGAGTATAATTTAGGATATTGAATATTAAGATGTAGACTAAAATGATACATATACAAACAGTGAAAAGATGAAGTTCGTGAAAAGAGGTAAGGACAATGTATACCAAAGCAATGTAATTAATCAATAAACATTCTGGCAGTGACAGTCAGTTTGACTTTGTGAAGTGTGGGTAAGAAAAAGAAAAGGGTTATATTTGTATTCCTATTGTTGGGGTTGAAAATTTACGAAGTTTTGTTCATGCAAAAGTAGTTGAGCTTTTTTCACACCAAAGAGACACCAAAACTGCTGTGAGGTTTTGTTTTAACTTTATCAGTGTAAATTATTTTCACGCAAACCACTTTGTCTACTAGTTTTCATACCAGATTCTATCCATCAACATGACAGTTATAAAAGCACATCGAATTTCTACCTCATTCCTCTAGTAATCTCCGCCAAATTTTCCTATAACTAGTTATCTACCCTTCTGACATTTTTCTCCAACACTCCTTCAGGGGCTAATGGATTTCTTGAAACGTGAGGGTGTGGTTTACACGCCCGTGAAGGATGTGGATTTAGGCTCCCATAGCAGAGAATTCTACCTGCAAGCTAATGTCAAAGGTTTATCATGCACTGTCTTTTTTTTCTTTCTATCCTAGCATCATGGTATCTTTACTTTTTCTTCTTCTAGTATGGATTTTCATTGAGTTCTTGTGACAGTTATAACATTGACTACTCCCTAGTATGTTCCACTCTATCAGGTTCAGAAAGGCTCTGCATCTGCTGGTGTTTTAAGTTTTAACACTAATGGCTTTTGATTTGATATTTGAACCAAAATGTTAGCTTGTAAGAGTATTGATAGTGATGGATGATATCCATGCACACCCACAAAAATACTACTAATGATCTTTGCCATCGCAGCTCCCCGCATGACTGGACTTTTGGTCAAGATTTTCACTCATCTATTGGAGTGTCCAATACTTGGAACCTTCCTACTGCTCATATTGAAGGGAAACAATCTTATTCACCGGGTATGCTCCATGAACATTTGTATTCCATTTCATGAACTTCTGTTCCAGTAAAGATTGAATTCTAAATAACATCTTTAAGCAAGTGCTTTTTGTTTTATTCCATTTTCACAGCTTATCACAAATGCAGAGTTCCAAGAACCACCTCTCTTTGTTCCCTTGCATGATTTTGAAGGTTTGAGAGATTGTGGACATGAGCATATTTGATTGCAAAAATTTGGCCTTAGGTTGCCTTAAGAGAATGTGGGTCACCGTTTCTGCTTATTCTTGCAGACATAAAAGAAAGAGAAGTCAAATGCTTAGACTCTTCTTTGCCTCCACCGGAGAAAGTTCATCTTGCACTAGATTGTTTGCCAACATCTTCACAGGAAACACTTGATGGAACAAATTCTTCGTTCTCCCGCTGGACAATAATGGATTATGCCAAAGCTTACCGCTCAGGGGACATAACACCAAGCTTGGTATTTTCATCTATATTGATATACTTATGTTTTGTTCTCTCTTTCTGTCTTTACATTTTTACAATTTCTGCTTTTAGTTTCTAATTTAAATTTAAATTTTTACAGGTTAAAGTTCCTGAATTTTTTCTGCTGTCACTTTCTGTTATTTACTATCAAGCAACAATGCTAATGGAGGACATAATATCATTAGGTTGTCAAAGTCATTGTTACTTGATTATAAGAACTAAAAGTGATGAAGAGAAAAAAAACTCAGAAGCTTTGACAGCTCAAAATTTAGATTAAGAACCTGAAAGATAGTAGTATTATTGTACAATGAGTAATCTGCATCCACAAGTCCTTCACATTTCTAGTTCGTTCTGACTTCAGAATTTTGATGTACTACTATATTCATTGACTCTCTTTCTACTTTAATATTTTGCAGGTTGCTGAACGGTTTATTGCGGCTATTGATGAATCCACAAAACCCTCTCTCCAGATGGGATTCTTTATTCACTATAGTGTTGATGATATTCTTAGACAAGCTGCTGAATCAACTCATCGATATCGAAGAGGTACTTGAGAGCAAGTCAAATGTCATTTCAATTCAACATTTAAGTGATCCCTTCCTATGGGGTTGTTGTTATTGAAACATATAATTATGGCTACATGTGCTTTCTGCATCCAAAGATAAGATGTATGCCACTTACCTTTCCCTGACTCCACCTTCAACTAACATATGTGGTCATTTGCCAACCGTACAAGTCTAATGAATTATATTCTAGGAGTGCTAAAAACACTTTTTCTAAGACACTCCTAGTACACTTTTTGTTCGTAGTAAAAATTTATTAGGAACTATGAAATCAGAAGTAAATCTCATTATATAAGAAGTAGGACCAACACAATTATGTGGTTTTCACTAATTTTCAATCAATAATGAAGACTGTGTTAAAAGAACCTAGTGTTAGCATTTATAAACTAATATTTTAACTTTTGAAGTAGCCCAGAAATTACATTGTCATATTTGCAGACGTTCTTATTTAGGATTCAGCCTCATTTGTGTTCATATATTATGTGTACTCAACAATGTTCAGATATTTGATGTAATAATATTTATGCAGGGGAACCAATTTCAGTGTTAGACGGAGTTCCTGTTGCTATCAAGGATGAGATAGACTGTTTGCCATATCCAACAACAGGTAGTGTAACGTGTTATTGTTTTCCCTAAGGAATCTTCTATTCAAATGATTATGTGCTGATTTCATGATTCACTTGAGCCTCTGAAAATGTTGTTCTCAAGGAGGTACAACGTGGCTGCACAAAGAAAGGCCGTGTAACGATGATGCTTGCTGCGTTAAGCGTTTAAGGTTATGTGGCGCCATACTTGTTGGGAAAAGCAATATGCATGAGCTTGGGTCTGGAACCAGTGGGATAAATCCACATTATGGGTAAGATCACCTTGTGTTATACTAATATTCACATTATGTGACATCTTTGGTGGACTTGTCTTGTGAATTCAGTATCAAGGAATGTTCATAGAACTAGTTGGTGATAAGAGCATGTTTGCTTATTACTTTGTAGGCCTGCTAGAAACCCCTATGATACCAGTAAGATTGCAGGGGGTTCTTCCAGTGGATCTGCTTCTCTGGTGTCTGCTGGACTGTGTCCTGTTTCCCTTGGTGTTGATGGGGGAGGTATTTGATTTATATCTGTACATCAAAGACCAGAGAAATCAGCATTCATTATTTCTTATTACTTGTGATGTTTGCTTTGCTCATTTATATGTTCAGGATCTGTAAGGATGCCAGCATCTCTTTGCGGTGTTGTTGGTCTAAAACCAACTTTTGCACGTATACCACATGATGGGTAGGTATTCATATTTGTTTTATCATCATTAAATACTTTAAGGATTATAATGTAATAACTTAGGAGAATGATCTTCTGCTATATTCAGAGTTCTTCCCCTAAATTGGACAGTTGGAATGGTTGGAATACTAGCAGGCACAGTTGAGGATGCATTGATTGTGTTAGTACTCCTTTCTATGATATTCTTTCTACAAGGAAATTTTAAGATTGATTTTTCAACATCTACTGTTTCATTGTTTATAGTTATGCAGCTATCAGTGGTGAAATTCCATATCAGAAGATTTTCAGTGTATTGGTAAGATCGTTTCTCAAATTAATGATTTTTTACCATCGATTACTCTGTCCATGTTTATAATATCACATATGATTCTGATTAGATATGCACTTTCAAGTTCTAAATTTCTAATATCTTTGAATTTCTTATTATTTAATCTTCAGACCAGCATAAATCTTCCACGACTGAGTTTGACAAAAGGCATATCTGACATCAAATTAGCAAAATACGGCAAGGTTAGAGTCCTGTTGGCAGCTACAAATATCTGCGTTATGATTATAAAAATTTTAGAAATAGGTTAACATCAGGTTGTTTAACCACTACTTCCTTCAATTAGTGGTTTGATGATTGCAGCAATGAAGTCAGAATATGCTGCTCCAAAACTTTGCTCAAGCTTCAGGATCATTACAATTGGAAGGTACTGAAAAATATAAAAATGCTAACGGTGACCACTGATATATTAGCNCCTAAGGAATCTTCTATTCAAATGATTATGTGCTGATTTCATGATTCACTTGAGCCTCTGAAAATGTTGTTCTCAAGGAGGTACAACGTGGCTGCACAAAGAAAGGCCGTGTAACGATGATGCTTGCTGCGTTAAGCGTTTAAGGTTATGTGGCGCCATACTTGTTGGGAAAAGCAATATGCATGAGCTTGGGTCTGGAACCAGTGGGATAAATCCACATTATGGGTAAGATCACCTTGTGTTATACTAATATTCACATTATGTGACATCTTTGGTGGACTTGTCTTGTGAATTCAGTATCAAGGAATGTTCATAGAACTAGTTGGTGATAAGAGCATGTTTGCTTATTACTTTGTAGGCCTGCTAGAAACCCCTATGATACCAGTAAGATTGCAGGGGGTTCTTCTAGTGGATCTGCTTCTCTGGTGTCTGCTGGACTGTGTCCTGTTTCCCTTGGTGTTGATGGGGGAGGTATTTGATTTATATCTGTACATCAAAGACCAGAGAAATCAGCATTCATTATTTCTTATTACTTGTGATGTTTGCTTTGCTCATTTATATGTTCAGGATCTGTAAGGATGCCAGCATCTCTTTGCGGTGTTGTTGGTCTAAAACCAACTTTTGCACGTATACCACATGATGGGTAGGTATTCATATTTGTTTTATCATCATTAAATACTTTAAGGATTATAATGTAATAACTTAGGAGAATGATCTTCTGCTATATTCAGAGTTCTTCCCCTAAATTGGACAGTTGGAATGGTTGGAATACTAGCAGGCACAGTTGAGGATGCATTGATTGTGTTAGTACTCCTTTCTATGATATTCTTTCTACAAGGAAATTTTAAGATTGATTTTTCAACATCTACTGTTTCATTGTTTATAGTTATGCAGCTATCAGTGGTGAAATTCCATATCAGAAGATTTTCAGTGTATTGGTAAGATCGTTTCTCAAATTAATGATTTTTTACCATCGATTACTCTGTCCATGTTTATAATATCACATATGATTCTGATTAGATATGCACTTTCAAGTTCTAAATTTCTAATATCTTTGAATTTCTTATTATTTAATCTTCAGACCAGCATAAATCTTCCACGACTGAGTTTGACAAAAGGCATATCTGACATCAAATTAGCAAAATACGGCAAGGTTAGAGTCCTGTTGGCAGCTACAAATATCTGCGTTATGATTATAAAAATTTTAGAAATAGGTTAACATCAGGTTGTTTAACCACTACTTCCATCAATTAGTGGTTTGATGATTGCAGCAATGAAGTCAGAATATGCTGCTCCAAAACTTTGCTCAAGCTTCAGGATCATTACAATTGGAAGGTACTGAAAAATATAAAAATGCTAACGGTGACCACTGATATATTAGCATGGTTTCTGCTTTCCCCACATAAACAAAACCGTATCTTATTTGATGTGAATTTGGAAGAAGCTATCTTTTTAAGGAAGAAAATTCTTAAAGCACTTGTAATACTGTTACTGAACTCATAATTGAGAAACAGCACATCACAGTCATCACTTGCTAACATGCTAACTTTCTGTCTCAAACATGCAAGATCATAGACGTGACCATACCAGAGATAGAAGCAATGCGCCTGGCTCACTATATAACAATCGGATCTGAGTCTTCCACTGCACTTGATTCATTTAAAGAAAAGTATGCAATCTTATAAACTTTTTACCTTCCTCATTATCCTCTAGCTTGAGAAGTATTGTTGCTGATATCTCCAAATTACTACCAAAGGAATTTTGGAGAATTAGGATGGGATGTAAGAGTAGCACAAAGCATCTATGGTGCTTTCAGCGGCATGGAATATCTTAAAGCTCAGAAAATGAGGTAAGATATGAAAAATTAAGCCAATAAATTATGCTAATTAATAAAATTACAGTTTTTTGAACACACTCTTCACTGTTAACAAAAAATTAAAATTTATTAGAACTTCCTTTTTGATGAGGTTCATTTGCGGTTTTATTACTTCCAATCAAATTTAACTGATAGTAGATAGAAGTGAATTTGGTCATATTAGGAATTTTCTTCCTACAACATTTTTTTTTCTTTTAATGAGAAAAATATGAACAGGAATCGCCAACTTCAATTTCACAAGAAAATATTTGCCGAGGCAGATGTCATTGTCTCACCAACAACTGGGTTTGTCCTGTTTCCTCAAACATCAAAGAATGATGGTTTCTTTGTGTTTTGCATTTTGGTAACACGTTTATACCATTTATCTGTAACAGTGTGACTGCATATCCAATTCAAGATGATGCTATTCAGACAGGTGAACTTGACTACGTGAATGGAGGTACATCATACATGAAATTCATCTGATTAACAATGACACCAAGCTCTGCATGTTATGTTGAAGTTATTGGTAGCATTATGTATATGAAGCACCAAAACTTTCCTTGCAAAATCTGAACTTTTTTTTCCCATAATTTTCAGCTGCACTTGTTCGTTATTCCATAGCAGGAAATTTTCTGGGACTTCCTGCTGTCACTGTTCCGGTAGGATTATACTCACTTTTACTTAGTTTCTTGGTATCTTGGATAAACTTATTCACAACATTTTTTAAAAAAATAAAAGAAATATCTCCATGAACTAAAATTATTAATACGTAAACTAAAAATAATCTTTCTAAAAAAATGAAAATTTTATTAATTAGTTTATAAAGAAATTGTGTGTTTGGCATTTCACAGGTTGGATTTGACAGATTAGGTTTGCCTATTGGACTCCAGTTTATTGGAAGGCCTTGGTCTGAAGCCACACTCATTCATTTGGCATTTGCAGTGCAGGTAAAATTCCTTTCTCTAAACAATATTTTTTTTTAATTATTTACAGTATTTTTATATAATTTGAAATTTAAGAAAATTGAAATGAACTTTAAGAAAATAAAACCAGACATTCAAAGTTAATAACTATTGGTTTGGTTGGTATTGAAAAAATATGTTACTGTGTTGAATCAGGCTATATGCATGTCAGAGTACAAAAAGCCGAAGGTTTACTATGATCTGCTGCGAAAGAAGAATGATAGCAATGGCATGTAGTTTGAAGCTAAATAGTATAGTTTGTCTCACCAATTTTCTTTTACTGTCTTTCTGTTGTTGAATTTCATGTATTATAATTACTATAAAATTTGATGCCATTGGTTTCAGGTGTCACTTTCTGCATGTGTTATATAATCCTTTGTCTTAGATATTAGTTTTACTGCCCAATATTTACCCACAAGTTTTTTTTTTTCTTTTTCCTATTTTTGTATGGAAATTCTAAAAAAACAATTATTGAGAATGACACTTCATTAAAAATTAATAATATTATTTTGGACTTTTGTTTTTGTTTTAAAAAAATTGTCTCTTAGTCCTTTTATTAGGTATTCACGATATAAATATGTTTAAATAGATAGATTATTTTATTTTTGTAAGTCTTATGTTATATATATTTTAAATACTTTATATGAAAGTTCACCTCAAGGTTATTAAATGAATATTTAATTTGATTTTGTGGATCTTATAAGCAACTTTATATTTATGTATAATACTTTAAATATGTTTTTTTTATTAGTTACATGATGCATGAACTTACTCTACCTTTCTCTTTATTTTTTATCTCTTTATCTGTGTAGATAATAACAACATCAAGCTTGACTCGAACCCCTACACGTGGGTCAAAAAGATGTTGTAAAATAAGTAGACAATATTGGATTGTTTTCCTAAAATCTTTATGTCCTGTCATAGTCGTACAAGCTTTCATTACTAAAGTAATGTTGTTCTTTTCAAGATGTATAAAAGTACAAGTCTTCATACTAGAAGTCAAATATTTTCAAGAGGTCAACCCTCTAAATAACCGTCATCTCTCAAAGAAAACTATATAAGGATGACTCACATAAGATAATCGAGAGGAATTTTTACTATCATTGAATCGTTACATTATTATTCTCTCTGAAAGCTTACATCGTCTAAGTCAGTTCTTAGAACAAGAAAAAGTCTTTCAAGTTATCAGATTTCATTATATTGAATTTATCCTCTCTCTAAGAGTTATTTGAATTTGTACTTGTAATTAAAACATTGATTAAAACACGTGTATACTTTAACTCAGTTAAATTAAATGTTTTAGACAATTGTCTACGGTTGATACCAGAAGTCTTTAAACTTTGACTAGTCAAGTTGACTAGAACGATCAGAAGTGGTTAATAATACTTGTATACCAAAAGTTTGTACTCATTTTTAATATTTGAAAAAGATGAGTGAAACTCCTTTAAGAAATCTTAAGGGAGACTAGACGTAACTCAGGTGAGTGAACCATTATAAAAGTTCTTGTGTTACTTAAAGATATAAGAGTCTAACAACTACTGCAATTTATCTAATACTCACAATAGCTATTAAATGTTGTTTTTGCGAAAAGAAAAATTGAAATACTGTTCAAACCCTTTCTAGTGTTTCTCTCTGTTTCAAAATAAATATTTGTGGAGAAGAAATAAAAACATAAGAAAAAATTATCTTCTAATTCCTATTTTATTTGATTAGTTGAAAAATCTCGTAATACATGAATACATAGATATTTTAATAATAAAAAAAAGTTAAAGATGTTTTAGATTGAAGAAATATCTTTATCAATTAAAATGCACTTCTTTTTTCTATTGCAAATTATTGTTTGTTTGGCATTTAACAACAAGCTTATGATTTTGAACAGGAATTCATCAAGCNTACTATAAAATTTGATGCCATTGGTTTCAGGTGTCACTTTCTGCATGTGTTATATAATCCTTTGTCTTAGATATTAGTTTTACTGCCCAATATTTACCCACAAGTTTTTTTTTTTCTTTTTCCTATTTTTGTATGGAAATTCTAAAAAAACAATTATTGAGAATGACACTTCATTAAAAATTAATAATATTATTTTGGACTTTTGTTTTTGTTTTAAAAAAATTGTCTCTTAGTCCTTTTATTAGGTATTCACGATATAAATATGTTTAAATAGATAGATTATTTTATTTTTGTAAGTCTTATGTTATATATATTTTAAATACTTTATATGAAAGTTCACCTCAAGGTTATTAAATGAATATTTAATTTGATTTTGTGGATCTTATAAGCAACTTTATATTTATGTATAATACTTTAAATATGTTTTTTTTATTAGTTACATGATGCATGAACTTACTCTACCTTTCTCTTTATTTTTTATCTCTTTATCTGTGTAGATAATAACAACATCAAGCTTGACTCGAACCCCTACACGTGGGTCAAAAAGATGTTGTAAAATAAGTAGACAATATTGGATTGTTTTCCTAAAATCTTTATGTCCTGTCATAGTCGTACAAGCTTTCATTACTAAAGTAATGTTGTTCTTTTCAAGATGTATAAAAGTACAAGTCTTCATACTAGAAGTCAAATATTTTCAAGAGGTCAACCCTCTAAATAACCGTCATCTCTCAAAGAAAACTATATAAGGATGACTCACATAAGATAATCGAGAGGAATTTTTACTATCATTGAATCGTTACATTATTATTCTCTCTGAAAGCTTACATCGTCTAAGTCAGTTCTTAGAACAAGAAAAAGTCTTTCAAGTTATCAGATTTCATTATATTGAATTTATCCTCTCTCTAAGAGTTATTTGAATTTGTACTTGTAATTAAAACATTGATTAAAACACGTGTATACTTTAACTCAGTTAAATTAAATGTTTTAGACAATTGTCTACGGTTGATACCAGAAGTCTTTAAACTTTGACTAGTCAAGTTGACTAGAACGATCAGAAGTGGTTAATAATACTTGTATACCAAAAGTTTGTACTCATTTTTAATATTTGAAAAAGATGAGTGAAACTCCTTTAAGAAATCTTAAGGGAGACTAGACGTAACTCAGGTGAGTGAACCATTATAAAAGTTCTTGTGTTACTTAAAGATATAAGAGTCTAACAACTACTGCAATTTATCTAATACTCACAATAGCTATTAAATGTTGTTTTTGCGAAAAGAAAAATTGAAATACTGTTCAAACCCTTTCTAGTGTTTCTCTCTGTTTCAAAATAAATATTTGTGGAGAAGAAATAAAAACATAAGAAAAAATTATCTTCTAATTCCTATTTTATTTGATTAGTTGAAAAATCTCGTAATACATGAATACATAGATATTTTAATAATAATAAAAAGTTAAAGATGTTTTGGATTGTAGAAATATCTTTATCAATTAAAATGCACTTCTTTTTTCTATTGCAAATTATTGTTTGTTTGGCATTTAACAACAAGCTTATGATTTTGAACAGGAATTCATCAAGCTCATCTTGAATTCATAAATCCAAATAACTAAACTAGTTTAAATGGCTTTTTAGTATTTTTTTTCTTTACTTCGAATATGAATTAATTAATTATAATTGATTTGGTAAATAATCAATTTATATTTTTAATTTCAAATTATTTCTTAGAATTTTGTACTTCTACTTACTTCTACTTTTGTATGTTTCTTCCTCTTCATTCTTTTATATGTTGAGTATTTTTAATTTTTAATAAAATTTATTCAAACAAAAAACAAAATAAAATAAATAGCTCAATTTAAGTTTCTCATAAATTTGAGTGTTTTTAATTAAGTTGCTAATATAAATCTTCTTTTTGTTGAGGGTTTAAAATAATTTTATTTATTAATAGAGTGTTTTTATGAGACGTAATTGTTTTATTACATTCTAAAATAGAACATCACGAATTTGTACAATATAAAAATTTTCTCTAAAATCCTAGAAAATCTTATCAAACACTATTATTTTGAGTCTACATGATTGATTTGATTTTTGTTCAATAATTAAGGTTTTACAACCTCATTGTGATGTTATATTTGACTCAAATTAAATGGTCACGTCATTTCAGTGACACCAATTCAATTAAAAAGTATAACAATTTGCATACTCAAATATTTATCGAGAATTTAATTGAAAATATTTAAATTCAGAAAAAAAAAACTAAAAATTATTTAAGTTGTTTTTATAATGACCAAAACAAAAATAAACATGCTTACTTTCATTTGGCAACAAAATCAAATAGTAGAGACTCAATTATAAAATATAAAAATTTTGGATATTCAATGAACTTTTTTTGAAATGGACTCAATTAAAAATACCTAAATTATAAATTATTTAAATTTAATTATGATATTTTGAAACGAAGGAGATATGTCCTCCATAATTTAAAAAGTTGAGTATTACTAATAATAAATTATTTCAATTATTTTCCGTCAATATTAAAATAAGTATGAGTTCATATATGTCTTCTGGAATTATACTCTAATAAAATAATTAATGAGAATAAATATAGAAAAAATAAGCATAAAATAAAATAAATGTTTATTTACTAAAGATAAATATTTTATTTTATTTAAAATTATATAAAACAAGCAATAATTGAGATGAAACTAAAAAAAAAAAGGTAGTGTGTGGCATTACAACTGTCTAATTATCACTAAGTGAATATATATATTTGTTAGTACAGAATTGTATTTATTTAGCCAATATTCTTGAATTTAAGTCTTGAACGCCTAATTACGTGAAATATCAACTTTTGCATCGAAAAATTTGGAGCATTAGCACATTATGACATGGAGGAACACAGCCCACTGTGTAATTCTAATTCACATATGTGAACAATTTGAATTCTGCAAAAAGGTACTGTTTATATGTAAACAAGTAAGTTTCGATTTATATACTTTGAATAAGTATTGACCACATTTACAACTTCAGTTTTTTCTTCACCTTATTTTTCAGTGACCTCTTGTTTTACTTACACTTTTGCTTCTAGAGTTGAACCTACCAAAACCATTATGGGTTTTTTCATGGGTTATAGATGATAATTGGTTTAGAGAAACTGATGGTTCAGAATCTCTTTTGATCAAACTCAAATTACTAGGTAAGTTCTTCAACTGCTCATCACCATTTTGAGGACCTGGTGTAACTTCAAAATCCATAGAGCTCTCTGAATCAAGTAGAAAGTCTTCCAATGTTGCAAGGGACTTCAACTGCAGTCCAAGAGATTCAATGGTTTTTCGGCATTCAGCAAATTTAGTAGCAGCCAATGCTAGTTCCTTCTCCTGCATATAAAGATGCTGAGCTCTTTATAGAAAAGACTTGTGAACAACATTGTTAATGCAAAATATTTACACAACAACCATCACTTGTATTTAGCTAGTAATCAAATGCAATTCCAACTGATCTTCTGTAAT